CAGTGTTTTCTATCTGGTTAAGATCTTATTTGAATGGGGGGACAAGTGTCTCTGATGTACTGATGCAGGTTCAGCACCCACAAAGCTAACCTTTGTCACAAGTCAACACGCAATTAAATTAATGACTTCTCTTAAATCATTTTGCCTTTTATAACCTCGGTACTTTACTTTAAAGTATGGTGCTGATTAGCTTTTGTTTCGTTGGTCGACTGTTGAATAAAATGGGTCTGTGTATAAGGCGTACTCCTGCCATTATAAATGTCAAAAGACATTTGACCATCTTACACTGATTCGTGGCAGAAATTCCAAAAGGAGATTTTAAGGAAACGTCTCACTTTAGACAAATAAAGCGTCTTAGCCTGTCAGGATAAGATACAAAAACAAAACTTACCGTCAGTGTCCATCAGGGAAACAATTACGAGATAATAATTTCCTTCAATTTGTGTATTAATTTGTTGTGGAGAACGTCAATTAGGCGTGAATTGCGTTCTAATCCGATCACTACAGCGTCAACAGTTGGTCTTCAACATAAACTTATAATTGGCATTTCGTCGACCCCATGTTTTCAATTATTAGTCGATTCTGGCCAGCTTTATTACACCAGCTTCGCCTGACTCATTGACACCTTATAGACAGACATGGAAGATAACGTACAGGTGTAACAAGTAAAATGGCTCTTTTCTTGTATGTCTATTCCGATTATTACAATACACACAATCTACAAAATAAGTGTGTGTTGTATTTCTATCTTTATTTTACTTTATTGTTAGATTTATTGAAACCAACTAAAAGTGATTGAATTGTAAAAATACTTTTTTTCTCTTTTCACGAAAATATATGTATTTTGAGTAGTCACGCGATGAAAATCATAACATCTTAATAGAATAGATAATTAAACTTTAAACTATATTAATAGTCTATACCATTGTATCGTTGTGAATAGATACTTATCCCGTTAGGATCGATTCTGTTACAAAGCGATCAATAAACTCATGATTTTTCCAAAGAAGTATGCTCTGATTTTATTGCTTTCTAAATCACTAAATTAATAGCGTACGGGAAAGGTCTCTGAAAGTGTATTTATCTTGAAAGGATATGTATTGTGATGACGTCATAATTGACGTGACGTCATCTTGTGCAAAACACAAGTAAACAAAGTGATGCGCTTTGATTGTGGCCTGTTTAGACTAGGTTTTTTATTGTTTATAGATTCATCTTCTTTCTCTTCTCAAAAAATTGTATCAGAAGAATACAATGATACATTTAAAACACATTTAGAAACAATTACAGCATAAATAAAATTCTTTGATCTTCCATTAATATCTAATCTAATTATGAACTTTAATTCAATCTTAAGAACAAAATTACTATAACCAATTATCATAGACACGTGCCACACCTACGTGTCTTACATTTAGACACTTGAGAATTAAAACTAGAATTATCAAATTTAGAACATATCAATATTTGTTTCAAACTTTTAGGTTATCTTCTAAAATGCATGTTTACCTGAAATGTTTCACCGATGACCACTACACTCTTAATTGTTCACAGTTATTTTAATTAGGGTGTACATATAAAAATTTCTTGGATTAAAAGGTGAAACACAAATCGAATGATTTTTTTTATCATTTTTTGTTGATACATATATGTATTATTGATATGTCCATATGTTCTGTTCACATTGATAACATCGAATGAGATAATAAAAAAAAATTAATGAGATGAATTGATATAAATAGCATCCAATGAAAAGTTCACATATCTTTTACATCCTGTAAGATGTTAAGATACTAATAACATCCAATGAGAAATACATAGCATCAAATGAGATTAATCGATATTTACAAAAATAATATGATGGTATATAGATATCCATAACATTCAAAGATAGATATAGAAATCACACAATAAAAACCGTATGTTTAGATAATGTTTACACTAAAAGTAAAAACTGACGCGAATATGTACCACTGAAATAAATTGTCCAGATATTTGTCATATCATGTTAGGATAGGATTCGAGTATTTGTTGACTTTGCAAAAATGATGTTTACAATGTCTATATGATATCCATGTTATGTTTACAGAGTCTGTAAGATGCTAAGATATTGTTAAAAGGTACCGCCGAAATGAGATGAACACGATATTTTCGCAAGCAAACGATTCATATAACATCGATTACCTACAAAATATATGAGAGCTGGCGTTGATAATGTCGATTATGTGTTACAATCCTCGTTTGCTACTACATGGCCTTTGTAACAATGTAACATTAAATTAGTATTATGATCAGACATATCTTAATCGGATTGCGATATTCTCTAGTACTAATTTACAGTTGATATTAATGACTTAACCCTATACAGAATAGTGATGTACAATAGTATTACAGTCATATAGACTGATATGAAAGATTCTTGCATTTTGTAACTCTAGTATCAACAGAAGAAAGTTGAATTTATACATTTAGACATGATACAAAATGAAACATTAACTTTGATACTTTTTCTATTGCTTTCTTTTTTTCTCTCTTTCTCTTTCTTTAAGCAAACAATATTGTGCATGATTGATGTTTTAATGATATGATTATTATATATAACAAGGTTTATTGTATGTATTTAAGTATTTTAAGTTGTGAAATTACCTTGCTTTACATACTAAATACTATGATGTTCAGGGTAATTTCATATTAAAGTTAGTTATCAAAGTGTAAATTAATATATCAGTTCACTACAATAACTTAGAGATGGTTAAATGTTTTAAAAGAAGACGCCATCTAAATACTCGCCCTAGGACCTCTCTATCAGTCCCTTTATGATACTTAAACGTCATAAAGTCTCTATATTACTCTGACATACATTTTTGAACTATTGCTTGTATACCGATATACGGGACAGCTTGAAGATCAACCGAACCTCGTGCAATGTCAGGTTATCTGATAGAACGGCCTAAGTGAGATACAGAGGAAGTTCTATAACCCCCTGGTAGGGTTATTGGCCGTGTGCGACACAAGCAGAAGTGATGTCATACGTCACTTGTCAGTAATTTGACTATATTTAATCAATTTTGAACGCATCATCTAACGAATGTGATATAAGAGATCAATATCAATTTGGGGAGATGTGAATAAAGCAATCTCTAACGTAATTAATATGAATATTATTAAATTTACCATATCTAAATTCAATGGAGTTTACCCCTGTGGCTAGTAGCAGATAGATATGGATTTAAAGGGAAATACAAAGCCATTGTGTGCCTATTGATTCACAACTTGTCATATTCTATATGGAAAATTAAACGCAAAATATGAACATCTAGCAAGAATATTAAATTAAAGATAGAAGCACATTCAATTTTGTAGAAATTGAAATAAAATGCAGTTAAACAGTGCTTCTACAAATCGTGCTATAATGCTATGTTCTTGAAAACACGAACATAGCTAGTCTGTTTGTGAAATGTAGATTTCGAATACACGCACTCCCACGTCTGTCTTCATTACCAGTAAACATAACAAAATCTACTTTTAAAATTTGAAGATAGCAGTTGTATATATCACGAGTAGGTTCATAAAGAGATAAAGAGATTCTTTTATTGCAGCAAAATTATGTTTTCACGTGCAACAGGATTGTTTAATATGACCGTTTAAATGAAATATATTCTTCTTAAAGACAAGTTTTAGTCCATCATGTAATGCGACTGCAGTGTATCACACATATTTAAAAAAAGGGAAAAGAACACGAAATTGTATTATTCAATTATACATCAGTAGTATTATACCGAAAAATGCGTTAAAAATATCTTCTGAAATATATCGTGGCTAAGTATACCTGTTGTTTAACAGAAATGACACTCTATGTATACCCCATTACAGTAGTGGATTACAGCTCCAACAAAGCATCTTGGAATTTTTACAGCGGCCATTCAGGTTTATATCATAAACCAGGGATCACTTATAGGGGATGTTAACGCGTATTGTGTTAAAAAATAAACGACTTAAAGGCCAAATTAACTGTCGAATATAGAAAGCCCTAGTGAGTGGTCACAATACATTTTGGTCAAGCATAGATCATGTCGTGTCCGTTTTTACTCTGTATTCAAAGTTAATTTGTGATAAATAAAAAAATAATGTAAGTAAAATAGAATTTTAAAAAAATCTTTTTTAAATCCATAATCTAGATTATAAGCAAAGCAAATATTGCTATAAATAGTGTTGTTGGAGATCTGTGCTTTTATATCAATGACATCATTCCGCTAATTAAATTAATGTCTATAAGAATATAACGCTAATGACATGTTTATATCAATATAAGATAGTTTCAGTTGTATAGCAATTGATAATAGGATTTTTACTATCAATGTTTCCTAAACGTGGCTATATATTTATGAAAATGATTGAAATACCAATAATTGATGAGTTGGGTCATATTTTATTACATTATGAATACAGGAATCAAATAAGATAGTCATCTCTTATGTCTCATAATGGATTTAAAAAGACAAGATCTTAAAAATGTCCCGATTTTTTTCAAGCAATTATGTGTCTTTCATAACCGATAATTATCAAGGAGAGATTGCGGAAAACACACACATATATCAAGTGACTGCCGCTCCAATCTCATCAACATATGATGCAACAAGCATCTTAACAAAGCGCCATAGAAGTATATTGTTCATTAATACAGATGTTGATTTCAGGCACGACATCCTTATCAATTTCTATACGTTATAACAAACTTCCCTTGCTATAGTTTAAAACTATCATGTATAAATGAATATATATATTTGTTTATTTTACACTGCTTAAGTTGGAATGTTTAAAAACCACTATTAAGTTTGAACAATCATTAAGTTGTATGTAACCAAATTGATCATATTTACGCGTGTTTACCTACATCTTTGCTTATATCACATCAGAACGTCACTAGTATATGTAAAAACAAATAGATTCTTATAACAGAAAACAACATCTACGGTATATGACATTCGGACCCTACTTACATGGGTGGTGATGCTGATAAGCCAGGTCCATTCCAAATTGTCTGGCAGCAGGATGAAGTGTAGGTGGACAGTGGAAACAAAACATGTTGTTAATGGCGTCGTCCTAAGCGTAGCGATGAACGTCTGTTGTCTTTACATTGAAATCTCCAACGTGTTCCTAGTGGATAGGGTGGCACTGCTCGTAGCGTTCAGCTGCAAGTCGAGAGCACATTCAAATATACCTGAGTCCCATGCCGTCAAACAATAGATTAATACCGTGGTAAATATATCGTCTGTGTTTAGAATGTGACGTATACTATTGCAGACAGTTCCAATTATACTCCGATCATCATATGTCACTACCTGACTTAAAAAGCCATTTGCTCCTATAATAAAATAAAAGACGTAAAATCATATTCACTTCAACCACTAAATTTTTCTAGGGAATGTGTCTGCCCTTTGAAATTTTCTTTTTTATAATTTGATAAAGTGAATTAATAATTTACCAAGTCGTCTTCTGTAGACGTATGCAGCAAATCTCGGAAAGCTATTTGTAACGCTGGAGTTAACCAATTTAACTTCAAATATGCAATAGACAGACTTTTAGTGGGCTTACATTACAGCTAATTTGTATAAAGAGATTCTAGAAAAGTCAGTTGGAAACGTATTAAGACTTATAAAAAAATATTCAGAAAATATTTTTCTGATTCTTTTTGAATGATTTGAAGTGACTTATTACATTTTAAGGAAAGAATGCATTGATTATATATCATTTGATAGATTTTTATCAAATTATTTTTTCATGTCAATTAAACATTTATATTTCCAAGTACAAAACTTAATTTGTATCCATTTTCAAAGTAATGAAATCGGATGATATTTGCATTTTAAAAAATGAAAATAAAAATCTTTTTTTAATTATGAAAAGTAAATCAAGTGATGAAACATGGAGTAATATGAAAAGAAATTACACCACAAACCTTGTTCGGTAGACCTCAGTGTTTTCCCTGGTAGGTGCCAGCCGCTGCGTAACACCCGAGTAACACTATAGCACCACACACTAGCCACTGCCTCCGAATGGTCTTTTCTATGCGGCAGTCAGCGGATCAAATGATAACACCACATTCTGGGGCCTCATGTATGATTCCTGTAGGTAATGTAATTTGCCAAACCATTGGAAATAGTCACTGAGCTCTACTTCATCAAAAATCGAAGTGCTTTATCATAATTTGTAATATTAGAGAATTTAGTCTCATTCCCGATTTCCAACCACTTCCAATAATTTAGTTTTCAGCATGTAATCCCCAATTAATCAGGCAAATGAGACAAAGAAGCCAAGCCCACGACACCACGATGTGATAGCTTGGCTATAAGATATAATTACTGGTGACAGGCGCAATGTTCGTTTCACCTATGAAATGGACATTATCATACGTCGCATCGGCATTAGCGGATGGAGAGTAAATCACTTTCACAATACATCGATACCATCCAGCACGTGCGATATCTAATTTGTAATCGATTAACGCCAATTCAAAAAAGCTTGCAACCATAAAACGCACTTAAATGCTGAACATAATGGCAGAAAGACGAAGGAAACAGCATAGTTGATGTTTGTTTGACATAATGATGTGAAACATTACACAGTTTGTCGACTTAAATTCCTGTCTTTGATGTTTAGGTCAAATACGGCCATTAATTCCTTAACTTAATTAGGCTGGTCTAACATCCACAAATGTATCATTATTTGAAATTAGATTAGGTTGTTAGTAGCTGACAGAGACCAGTGTACCTCGATAATTGATGCAGGGATCGCATGCCCCGATGAACGGCACCTATCGCCAGTCGGTAGAGGCTCTCGCCTGATCGGGAAACAATCAAGGCACAACGGAAATGTTTCCTTGCCTTTAATGTTTGTTTTCGCGGATATCTCAAATTCATTAATTTACAAAGACGCTTCCAGGTTATGGAAATCGTATATCGATATTGATAAAGGTACCCCGTGACAATGAATGTCTGTGTACGCGAATGAGGGCAAGACATGCCATACTACACGGGACTCAAATATCCACGTGCTAAATCTTTATTGGTATATGACATAAAAATTTGTACATGGTGCTTCGCTAATTACACATTATGTTACAACATTTTTCAGAAGTTGTAAACTGTCCTTGATTACCACTTGCATGTGAGATAGAATTTTTCATTTTGTTATTCATTAACGCTGGCTGAAACAAGAGTACATGTAGGCTACTCTTAGCATCCTCTGTATTTTTATTACTCTGAAACATGCGACTTGTGTAAGTCGAGGTTTGTGTTGAATTTTCGTTTGATAAACGTTTCAATAGATAATATAAAACTGAAGCTTCCTTATTCTGTGTTTACAAATTTTAAAACAACTATACTAATATGTATTTTGTAGTGATTGCACTCTTTAATGGGGTTCCTTCTGGCGAACAAAAGAATTCTGATGTCATTTCACAAAAAATCCATTTCAGACTCAGTGATTATATTTTTATCTAACATTTATATTTTACATCAACATCTAGAATTTTCATAATTACATAATTTCGTGTCTTTGACAAACCAAATTCTTACAAAATACATTTTTACATTTTTTCATATGTATATTTTATACATGTATTCTTGGTTTAGAAAATGTAGTAAATTAATGATCCTTTCCCTTAAAAGATATATTTAACGGCATGCAGAATCTGTCAGACATTAAAACTTACGAAATTTAATTTTATAAGGTTGAAATGAATTATGAATACTGATATTCATGTATAAGATCATATTTTTACCATATCCTGCGGGACTGCTTTCGCAGAATTTATTAATTTGAAATTGAACATGCAGGTGAGAAATTATGTCGGAACATTAAATATAAAATGCAGTACTGACCATTTAAGTATTTACTGAGTACTACACTGAAGTTTTCTGTTTTTAGTCACTGTAAGAAAGGAATGGTAAATCAGTGCTTAACCTTATCATAACTTGCTATGTTTATATCCTAATTCTGTAATGCGTATCACGTGCAATTTCGATATAACATAATTCTTTCTGTTCAATTTTACATGATCACAAACGGTCAAACTTAGATATGCCTTTGTGAACTATAACCAGACATTTGTTTTCAAATGCTTCTCAAAAAACAAAATAAAAACATAACGAAAGTTACATTTTAGCAAAATAAGGTTCCTAACTTTTCTAAACCTTACCCCAAACATAACGTGAATCTGCATGTTGTATTTCTGACATGTTGATGAGTAAGATTCAGTTCAAAATATTATCACTCACCATGGTAAATGAACAAAAATATCTTTATTATATATGCTCTGAAAACAGCAGTTACCTCATGAAACATTAATTCATCAATATAATTATTAGCACTCAAATACAATTTATGAACTCTACATTTTGATAATCATAATGCCTTGTATTGACAAAAACAAACGAAAATACTAACATGTCAACACAATTAAAATCCAAACTCAAATTCAATAAAACTATTGCAAAATATATAAACAAAAGAAAGATTTATACAAAGGTTCCTGAATGAGACCAGATGTTCCGGAAGAGTTGGCGTCCTGTTTCCTTTTTTTCTGTTTTTTGTTTTAAATATTATTTTTTGATGTTTGTATTTGTTTATTTTTATTTTGTTTTGTTTTGTTTTTGATGGTTTGTATTGAATCATTAACAAATGACATACATTTTACAACCAGTAAACTTTATGAGTACATAATGAGAGACAGATCTGAGGACTATAAAATAAATTGAATGTTTACAATATCGCATGATAATTTCCTCAAATTGACGCTCATAATGTGTATTTTCATAATTTACAGTCATGCCTCTTTCATGTGCAGTTCTATACTGATCAACAGGAATATTTATATATATGTATATATATATATAATAATAATAATAATAATCCAGCAATACTAAATACACTAATACACAAAGCGAATCTGCAAATTCACAAATTTAAGTGATTTTTCCAAAACGTGAATAGAAAAGCAATAACTAGTGAAATATCCTTATGTAACTAAGTTAATATATGTATAAGATAGATCTTAAAACGTTCAGTGATTTACGATATCTGATGTGTAAGCGTTTCATTAAACCTGGCTGATTTATCTATTTTTAATAACGTATAAGTTATTTGAAATAAAGTCTTTCTTTTGTGAATGTGTTCGTTCAATGTTGTACCATTTATATGTATTTCTGAGGAATTGAATTCTGCACGTGATAATGTCCTATTCTTTATCTTCTTTATCGAGACTTAATCTAGTATACTATTGGTGTGTGTTGCCATGTTTACAGACTAATACCACAACTATAAAATCGATATATCAGCTTTGCTGTTACTGTTTATATATATTATTTACATGTTGTACACAACATCTGCATCAGATAACAGGGTACCTTTTCAAGCACTTTGTATCCTACCAAAGGTTTTTAACGTTTTTGTGATGTTGCAAATAAGCAAAGACTTACTTTCTGTCTCAACGTGCAGACTAATCAAGCTGCCATGATATATGAATAAATATAAATAGACTTACTGTCTGTCTTAACATTCAAACTGATCAGTCTTATAACACACAAGTATAAATAAATAGACTTACTACCTGTCTTAACATTCAAACTGATCAGCATTATAACACACAAGTATATATAAATAGACATACTACCTGTCTTAATGTTCAAACTGATCAGCGTTATAACACAAAGTATAAATAAATAGACATACTACATGTCTTAACATTCAAACTGATCAGCATTATAACGCACAAGTATAAATAAATAGACTTACTACCTGTATTAACATTCAAACTGATCAAGCCTTTAAGATAAAAGTGTAAATAGATAGACTTTCTATCTACTGTTGAAATACCAGAAACATGAAAGAGATAAAATATAAACATAGTATTACTCTTATCAAACTATTCTGTTTTGAAGGATATTATTCATCTGTGTGTCTTGTGTACAAATCTTAATACGTTAAAAACAAATTAAATATTTAATAGAATTATTCCGCGAAAAAGAAATGACATGCACAAATAGAGAGATGAATGGAAGAATACCAGAATTAATGATGATTGA